CCTATTTAATCATTCGTATTAAATAGGGGAACTTGTCGGCAAATAAAACGGTTTCGCAGACCCAAACGGATGTCATATGTTTTCCTAGTTTATTTGATCGAGCCTCATCCTCAAGTCTTGTGTTTATCCCTCGGGGTAGATATAAGATTTGAAGTAGAGTGCTCTTTCATTTAAACTGTGAAAAATATGATGTCAGTTTGATTTCATATTTTTTCTAAAATTATATATATATATACATAAATTAAAAAGTCCTTCCGAAGCGGGCGACGGGATTTCGATTCCGACTGCCGACAGCTTCTTACGGGCGACCCCCCCCCAAACAATCTCTTCCTTTCTTACTTTTTTAGTGCCGACAAGCTTGCCATGGTTAATAAATCAATAGTTTTATATTGTGAAGTCTGCCAGACTAAAGCATATGAGTAAAATTCCACGGGCAAGTAATTTTTTCCAATAAAGATAATTGTGTTATAAAATATGTTATAGAAGCTTGGACCAATTATCTATTTTTTCAACTTAGACTCTTCTGTTCTAGTAAGACAACTTCAACTTGTTGAGGAGAATTCTTCTCTTTTTTATATTCTTCATTGCTTCTGTTGATTCTGTTAAATTCTTCTCTGTAAGCTGTCTTATTAAGGACGACCCTTCTTTTATCTGGACAATTCGGCAGTGGTCTAGATGTTGGTGGTTCTATTTTAACAACAAGAACTCCAAAAGCAAGCACCATTGTGGTTATTTTTTCTTACATTGTGGCTATTTTATCAGCCATATACTTGGCCATCTCTTCTTTAATATTTAGAAGTCCTTAAATTGTATGTAATCTCTCATATTCATAGTTCTCAGACTCTAAGAGAATCACCAAGGTTATCCTTCCCAACATTTAATTTAACCATGAAAATATTTTAAGGGGTGGAACTAGCGATTTGATACCTAAATATTTTCCCAAATTGGGTGTGCTGAAGTTTTATGGAATCGGGAAGAATAATGATGCATCTATGACCAGGGAATTAGGTTTCTATGGAATACCTTCAAGGATAATGTCTTTTATATTGTTTATGGATCTAAACAACGAGTAATCTTGCTGTTTTATTCAATCATTTGTCATTCGATGTGGCTATTGAATGGAGGAGTTTCAATTTTCTTCTCCATCTCTTGGAGGCTTTTTGTTGTTCTTTGTGCGCAGGAGTTTCATGTTTGCTGTCTTTGCTGCACCCTCAGCACACACATTGCATTCAAAACATTCGTCATCACTAAAGGAAGCCAAATCAACAGCTTTTGAATAACTGGCTTCACATCTTATAATCGCGTCTATTTCTAATTACCAAAGAAATTCAGACATTTTGTGCTCAATTTCTGATTAACCGGTTCACTCAGGCTATAATCATATTAAAAGGTTGAAATAAACTGATGCACTTGTCCACTAACCGGATTCTACTTTTGAATAGCAAACTTCATATTCAAATCCTTCTAGTGTAACTTCATCCTTAATGCTCGAAGAACCAAATTCTTTCCGCTACTATTCAGAATTAAACCTTTTTCATAATCAGATTCTTGTTAAAATTGACGTTAAGAAGTTTTGGAGAGGGTATAAGATTTATTTCAAACTTTTCTCTTAGGAGGAAAATGTAGAGGAAAAAAAAGAGAAAATAATAAATTTGACGCTTAAAAAAGAGCAGAAGATAATGTTGAAAATTCTAAGGACCAAGAATAAGTGTAGGTCAAAACAAAGAGCTTTAAGACTACTTCAGGTTGTTTTTTGACTTTTACTTTTAGAAAACACGCTAAAGAGATAATAAACTTTATTTAGTTGGTTTCATTTTTAAAATAAAATTTGCTATTTTAGCATTGTAGGTGTGGCACGCCATCACCTAATTTTCATCATCTAGCATGAATCTCGAGGCGTGATATATCTCGGGGCAATCTTTTGAGCAAGAAATGTTCAAACTTTGATAAAGAGTCATCCGAAAGTTCAATGTTAGTAAACTTATAGTCAAACTGATCGGCTTGACCAGACGAAGCCATTGATACCAAAATTGGTCAAATTTGAGTCAAATCAAGCTCATAAATCAAGTTGTTAAACCACTCTTAGAAGTTTTTCCGACATATTTGGAGGGTCAAACGGATGTTGAATCTGATGAGCTCATGATCGAATCGAGCGTCTCGACAAAATGAATCCAACGAGCCCAAAATCACTCAATTTCGACATCATTAAGGTCCTAAAATGTCGATCAATTGTCATCTAATCGAGGGAATCTCTCCGAGCCGTTCAATCAGAGTTGCTCATATTCCTTCATTAATTTTAATCAAGACTATAAATAGAGTCACACCCCTCTCATAAGGGAGGAAGAGAACTTAAAGTCTGAAAAAGTGTTTGAAGCTTAGAGAAGGATCTGAAGTCCAGCATATCCTAGTCCCCGGTTGCCGCCGCCCATCACTCGCAAGTTGTCGTCGTCCATCACTCGCCGATCGCCGCCGACCATCACTCGTTGGTTACCGCCTATCACCACCGGCCGCCACCCACTTCTTATAACAGGTTAATCCACGCACTGACGTTGTAATTCTGAAGAATGTTCAACCTTTTCTCGTCTATGGGGCGAGGGACTGCACTTATAATCTTTTGTTTACAATGGATTTCTTTAGTTGGGTCAGCTCCGTGGTTTTTCCCTTTATGAGTTTTTCACGTAAAAACTTCTGGTGTCTTTACTGTTTGTTTTTCTTTCATCTGAGCGTATGCTTAATTCTCGTGCAATGCTGAGACGATAATCTATTACTCTATCGCCGTGAATTTTCTAGAACGCATCAAGGTGCTTTGTAAGTTTCCCCTTATTAATTTTCTCTTTAATTTAATAATTTACATGGTAGATTTATTCTGCAAGGCTTTCTTAATCTTTTAACTTCATGCTCATAAATATATTTTAGCCTTTTTGAGTTTCTCTCTAGCAACATATGATTGATCAATAAAAGACCGAGTTATTATTGGTAGATTATTACTTCTTAATCTATTTAAAAAAAAAGATTGTTACTTGTCTTTGAAATTTTCTTTCCTTTAAGTGTTGCAGTGATTTTCTGGTTTCTAGCAATGCCCATGAGAGTTCCTTACAGGCAAAGGAGAAGGTGATATCTGATCTGAATATGGAACTTCATAAAATGGAAACCACTTTGTCAAATGAACGGGAACAACACATTAGCGAGATCAGGAAGTTTAATGCTTTGCTTAAAGAAAAGGTGCTGCATGCATATTCATTTGAATACTTTCTATTTGCCTTCCTTTTCTTGAAGTTTTCATACGCAAATTGCTTTATTTATGTCATTAACTGATTTTTATATTATGACAGTGCTTGCAAATGTTTAACTTAGTTATCTATTGTTTTCTTTTTTCCACCATTCCGTTGATTGACAGGATGCCACTCTTATGGAAATCAATAAAGAGTTGCAAGAAAGGCCAACTTCTAAAGTTGTTGAAGATCTGCGTAAACAAATCAAAATATTGCAGGTGAATTTACCACTGCACTTAATATGTATTTTTGTATTCAGCTGCATTGCCGTTCTGCTTTTCTAGGAAAATAGACAGTTTTGATATTCTACTTGAGTATATTGGACTGTGTTCTTGTATTACATGTTGTAGAAGAGTGATATTAATACAAGAGTTAACCCAAACCACGACGCAGAACAAAATTTTATTACTGACTTAAAACAATGTTATAATGAAGACTCGAAATAACAAAAGACAACAAACAAAGCAAAAGTACAAAACAAAGGATTATAACTAATGGCTCAACAAAGAAGACAAAACCGCTTGATGAGGAGGGAGTCCGATGAGGGAGGCTGCTGCGGTGAAGACTGAAGAGCTGGGGCTGCTGTGGAAGAAATAAGACAGTAGATTGGCGATAGTAACGACGTCGAATTGCATCTAGAGAGGAGCAAGAAGGTCGTCGGAGGCTGGATTGGCCGCGGCAGTGAAGAACAGAGAGGTGGGGCTGTTGTGGAAGAAGTAGGACATCAGGTTGGCGAGAGTAACGAAGTTGAACGCGGTTGAAGCTAAGCAGAAACGTTGTTGGAGGCTGAAACGGTGTTGGAGGCTGAATTGGCGGCTGCGGTGAAGGCCGGAGAGGTGGGGTTGCTGTGGAAGAAGTAGGACAGCAAGTCAGCGATTGTAACAGTGTCGAATCGCAACTGGATAGGCGAAGAAACGTCGTCAGAGGCAATGGCGGCTGCGGTGGGATCGAATTCTGAAATGACAGCAGGGAAACAAAAGTATAATAAGATAAATGCCTCGACATGGTCGAGATACATTCAGAGCATCACTCAAACTCTTGAAGACGATCACCATCTCAGACGAGGGGCAACTGAATTACCACCTTGACGTCAAATACAACCCTCTAAGGGAAAATACCAATGCTACAACTTGAATTTAGATATAAAAAACATGTCCCCTAACTCTAGACATATCAAATTCTATTTGTAAAGAGATTTGTCCCAATTAGGAAACACTAAAATGTGAAGGAGAATAAAATTAGATTTCAGATTTTAGGAAAAACTTTTAAAATAAGGAAGGAGAATAAAATCAAATTTTAGATATGACGAAATGATTTAAAATTAACTAGGAGAATAAAAATCGGATTTCAGTTTATGAAAGTTTTAAAATAAGACAATGCTAGGAAGGAAAATAAGAAAAAAGGAAAAAGATGGAAAAAGAAAAGGAGGAAAAAGGAAATGATCGAAGAGGAAGGAGGGGAGAAGAAAGGGGGCGACAACCCCTCTTCCTTGTGAACCGACCGATCCTCTCCTGAGCCCCCTCGTCTGTCTCCCGTGATTGTGAGAGCTTCGACCTCACTTGTTGAACCTTCTGGTCCCTTGTCTTTAATCGTGACAACACCTGGATCTCACCGTCGACTTTGCTGCCTCCCAAAGCACTTACGAGCATACCTCCCTCTCGGTCCAATCTCCTAGGACTGAAATTTCTTGCATGGTGTGGCCATGGTGGTAGAGAATCGGCTGTCATTAAAAATGGTACCGCTACTCTGCTAGTAAGGGATCCTATCTCCTCGGGTGCTACAAAAGGAAGTAGAATGAGGTGTTTGTCGTCCTTGGTGAAAGAATAAGTGTTTTTGAATCTGTCGTGCTGAGTCTTTTAGTCAAATTGCTACGGTCTTCCTATCAGAAGGTGACATGCTTCTATGGGGACCAAATCACACCATACCTAGTCCTGGAGCTAACTCCGTATTGAAAACTCTATTAGGCATTGCGGGTCAATGCTGACCCTATTTTTCTTCTTCAGCCACGTTAGTGAATATCGCTGGGAATGACTCTAAGTCGTGAGTTTTAGTTCTTTACCATTTGGATCGATACCACTAGGGGTGTAAACGAACCGAACACGAACGAACAAAGCTTGTGTTCGTGTTCGGTTCGTTTAAAATTTAGTTTGTTTGAAATAAGCTCGTGTTCGTTTCTTAACGAACGAGCCGAACACGAACCGAACACGAGCTGTTCGCGAACGACGAGCTAATTTGACATCCCTAATATTAATATATTAAAATAATATTATATATTAATTATATAACTTATATTATATAAATATACAATATCTATATTAGTATATTACTACTATAGTATATTAATATATTATTATTATTATTTTATTATATATTATAATTTATAAAATTTAATGTTTTAAAATATAATAAATTTTTTATATATAATTATTTTATATTATTTTATATTTCAAACAATAACGATTCGAACACGAACGAACGCATCACTGTTCGTGTTTGGTTCGTTTAACTAACCGAACGAAAAAAATTTGTTCGTGTTTGTCTCGTTTACTTATCGAACGAATCGAACACGAACTCATTGACGAACCGAACACGAACTGTTCGCGAACAACGAGCTTTTTTGACAGCCCTAGATACCACATTCTTACTGCTACCATTGTCGATGATAAGACTGCGTACCTTTATGTTCACTGTGCAGTGGGTGTAGAAAATGTTGTGGCAAAGCCACTACGAATCCCTTGTCTCCTCACTCTGCAGTATTTGTTGAATCACAAGTGCTTCTGCCTCATCTTGTGCAAGCTGATGGTCTTTACCCTGTTCTTCAGCTTCCTGCTCCCTCGCTAACATTTTTCACGGCGCCCTGCTCGGTAAAAGTTACAACTTTGCAGGTCGGGCATCTAGAGGCTATGTGCCCAAATTTGTGGCTTTTGAAACATTTTTTGACATGTACTGTAGTCGTCGGCTTCTTCTCACTAGGGGTGACTTTATCCGTATCCGAATCAATTTTCTCAACTCTTTGCGGTGTGCTCTTTATGGTGTCTTCAACTGTGGGTAGCTGCCTGGCAGGTAGTGGTTGTCAACTCTGCTGCTGTTGTCTTTCCTTTTTTAATGCTAGTGTCTTTACATCCCCCAGTGTCTAGTACGCCTGTAGTTGTACTATAGTGCTAATACTAGGTTTCAAGTCCCTAAGATATCTGACTGCTGCATTCTCCTCTAGCTCTGTTAGGTCGCACTTAAGCTGTAAGTGGTCGAGTTGAGCTGTAAACTCCTCCACTGAAAGGTTTCTCTGCTGCAGATTGTGGAGTTTCAAAAACATGTCATGGCGATAATGAGAGGGAAAATATTTCTTCTGCATGGTTTTCTTCATCTTCTACCATCTGGTAATCTTTTTGATGTCTTCTTGCTTCTACTGTTGTTGTACGTTCTTTCACTATAGTGAGACACTTTCCTTCAATTTGATAGTAGCTAATTTGACCCACCTCTCTTCGGGCACCTCTTTGTATTCAAAGATCTGCTCAACTGTCTGTAGCCATTTAATAAATTCTTCTTGATCCATGCTCCCCTTAAACTCGGGAAAATTTACCTCGATCCCATGATCTTGGTGCCCTCCAAATGGCATTTCTTGTCGGATCACATGCATCTGTTTTTAGGCCTTTTCTGATATTGGATTCCGAAACGTCGTGGTTTTTCTTCTTCATCGTTGAAATTGTTCTTATGGAAGGGATTCAAATTCTCGTATCTCTCTCACCTTTGACTATCTAGGTCTCGGTCGACGGTAACTTCTTCCAGTGTTATCTCTTCAATCTTCACAATTCTTTGTTGGAGGCGGCAGAGTTCTTGTCGAATTTCTTCCCCGGTAGGCTCGGACACATTTCTCCTTAGTGACATGTTTGATGATTTGGGATCTCTGAAAGGGAAAAAAAGGAACAAAGAAAGAAAAAAAAATTAGTGTAGTTGATTGGGTAGGGGCGAATGCTAGAAACCCTAGGATAGGATTAGGGTTAAGCTAGTTTTGATACCAGATGATATCGGAATTAATCCAATCCACGTCGCAGACATAATTTTATTACTGACTTAAAACAATGTTACAATGAAGACTCGAAATAACGAAAGACAACACACGAAACAAAAGCACAAAACGAAGAATTATAACTAATGACTCAACAAAAAAAACACAACCGCTTGATGATGAGGGAGTCCGACGAGGGGAGGCTGGATTGGCGGCTGTGTTGAAGGACAGAGAGGTGGGGCTGCTGTGGAAGAAGTAGGACAACAGATCAGCGATAGTAACGACGTTAAATCACAACTGGAAAGGAGCTAGAATGTTGTTGGAGGCTGATTGGCGATGACGGTGAAGGTCGGAGAGGTGGGACTGCAGTTGAAGATATAGGGTAGTAGGTTGACGATAGTAACGGGGTCAAACAACAGCTCGAGAGGAGCAGGAATATCGTCGAAGGCTCGATTGGCATCTACGGTGAAGGCCGGAGAGGTGGGACTGTTGTGGATGAAGTAGGACAACAATTTGGCGATAGTTACGACGTTGAGCCGAGACTGGAGAGGTGCAGGAACGTCAACGGAGGCTGGATTGGTGGCTGTGATGAAGGCCGGATTCTGAAATGACAGTCAGGAAATGAAAGTATAATAAGATAAATGCTTCAGCGGGGTCGAGATACAATCGGAGCACCACTTGGACCCTTGAAGACGATCACCACCTTAGACGAGAAACTATCAGAGCACTACATCGACGCCGGATTTAACCCTTGAAGGAAAAATACCAAGGCTAAAACTTGAATTCATATATAAAAAATAACTTCTAACTCTAGACATATCAACTCTTATTTATCAAGAGATTTGACCCATATAGGAAACACTAAAATAAAAAAGAGAATAAAATCAGATTTCAAATTTTAGAAAAAACTTTTAACATATAAAATCAGATTTGAGGAAAAGATTTAAATTTAGGAAGAAGAATAAAAAGCAGATTCTCTTTTAGGAAAGATTTTAAAATAGGGAAGTGCTAGGAAGGAAAATAAGAAAAGAAGGAAAGGAGGAGAAAAAAAGGAGGTGGCGGCGGCCCCCCTTCCTTGAGGACTGGTCGGTCTTCTCCCGAGCCTCGCGTCACATATATAGCTTATTCTTGTCATGTATTTCTCCATGCAAGGATAGATATCTGAAGGCTGAACTTGTTCTGGTTTGTTGAAACATGATTATTCTAAATTCA